CCATCACCCTCTCCATCCTCATACACCTCAGCACCACCCCCCTCCTCTACATCGCCGCCCACGGGCGGCGGGGAGGGCGGTGCGCGCGCGGGTCCGGCGGGGGGGGTGGGGTTGGGGGGGGCGGAGGGAGTTCGGGAGGGGGGGGGGGGGGGGGGGGGGGGGGGGGGGGGTCCTGGGTGCCCGTGACCCCCCTTTGGTAGGCCTTCTTTTGAGCAAACAACCTACAAGATTCAGGTGGCGAAAACGCCATGACAATATCTTCGCCGTAAAACCCATTGTTGAAAAGCCCACTTTTTTCGTCAACGGCTCTTGTCTTAAGTTAATATGGGCCTTCAGCCGCGATAATACGACTGAGCCCGCTGATACACCAGGGAGAGCAGCGGTATAAATCATATATAGTCGGTGATCCCCGGATGGTGTCCCTGCTGTGACCCTCCCTTTGAAAAATCCTGGCTACGCCCCTGCAATTACTATCCAGTCATAATTGCTGCTTGTCGGTCCACCCAAACAATCCCAAAAACCGTTGCTCCGAAAGCTTATACCCATTCTTCCTGTAGTTATGGATTGGTAAATTGTTCTCTCACGTAGCGCTTTATGCAGACGTCATGTACGGATCCCATATGAAAACTCAACGAAAAGACTTCAAGTTAGGTTTCTGGGAAACTGCCCACCTCCCCTCTCCGAAGCCAAGTGTGTTATTGTTGGCTTAGGGGAGGCGTTTTGATGTTGGTAGATACTCAAGACTGTACAATGTCATAATTTTCAATAGCCTGAGAAAACGGCCAATAATTCGCGACGTCATCACTGGTTTCCCCTCGCGGAAATGACGTCTGAGGAACGAGCACAGAAATTCCATACTAATGACGTGTCACTACCCCGATCTGGGTAGTGCTTTGGATTGGTCTTGCAGCGTGGGAAACTTGCTTCAACCGATCGCAGGTACAACGCAGTTCTGGATAGTGACATGTCATCAGTACAAGGGTTCGCACTCTTTTTAGCCCTAGAAATTTCTCCAAGCCCTTTTCAAGTTTTCCTTGACCTTCTAGCGCTCACTTTCGAAAACTTTCAAAACCTTCCTTCTTTCAGGGGATTTTTTGACCTAACTCGGTTCAGAAAAAGCAAACTCGTGTCCACTAAAATGCAAGCTGTTTGCGAAGTTTAATAACTCGTCTCTATCTTACATTGTCCTTGCTTTGACATTTGCAGCAACTAACCTACAACACATAGCTAAAATGTTCCATGACTTTCGAGGACCGACAATTAAATTCCATGACTTTCCATGTCTGGGAAATGAAATTCTTAAATTTTACTACTTTCCAGGTTTTCCATAACCTGTACGGACCTCGAGTATGGAATTTCGGCGCTCGTTTCTCAGGCGCCATTTTGTGCGGGAAACAAGTGGTGTCATCCCGAAATGTCGGCTATTTCAGGCTTAAGGACTCCATTCCAGCCTCCTCCATAGGCGCGCGAAACACGAGTGACGCGCAAGGGACCATGGGAAGGAGAAAAATGAGAGAGAGAGACGTCTAGGTACGAGGCAGACTACATGCTGCATATATCTCTACACAAGTATTAATGCACAAAACCCTACAGGATCTGGGGTCCTAATAGTTCAACTTGCATTGAGACGCTTCGATAAAAATGATTTAGTACATCGTAAGGTTTGAACATTTTCCATTTTCACTAAGAAATTTAACAAAGTAAAAGCTGTAAATTTACAAACTGCCAAAAATTCTAAAAAGTCTATGATTGTTATCAATTCAAAATAAGCATACATCTGGTATCATTGTAATATAAATCTCTACACTAGTATTAGGCAATACAAATATTCAGTTCTTTTTGCGCGGGGGGGGGGGGGGGGGAAAAATAAAAAAAACGAAAAAGCAAATTTTTTCCCAACAACATTAATAAAAAAAATACATAAAAAGAAAAAAAAAAAAACAAAAACAAATCTATTATATATAATACCCCATAGGACCTTTGGGGTGTATTTTTAAAAACAAAAAAATGTTTATAATTCTTTTTATTTCAATACTCACAACTAAAGAACACATGTGTTCTATATTTGATATAACTCGTCACGTGGGAGAGGGAAAAAAAAATCTTGGTGTGTGGGGGGGGGGGGGGGGGGGGGGGGAATCAAGTAAAAAAACGAACAAGTCAACTTTTTCTCAACAACAGTGATAAAATAAATCTCTATAATGAACAATAAAGAGACTAAAATCATTCTCTTATATATAATGCACCCTTGGAGGCTTTGGGGGCATTTTTCGAGTAGACGATTGCGCCCTTGCAGTCTTGGCACTTTTGATTGGCTCCAGCACGTAACTACACTCTTCCTTACCAAGTGCCCCGGTCATGCACTTGATGTACCTATCAATATGACTCTGTAGGAAGGAGAGTGGGGCGGAACCTTGGCTTAGCACCTGGTAATGAAAGTCCTGAAGGCTAAATTTATCTTTCAATGCATTCTTGGTCTTGTTGCGTAATTCTATTAGCGCCAGTCTCCCTAACATGTACGCGGTTGCTTGTCCTGGGTCGCTCTGGTATCGAGTTACCTCTTTAACTGCAAAGTCTGATGTGTCCCAAGCATATTGCTCAAATAAACTCAGTGCATGAGTCCTAAGTAAAAATAAGGGAAATAGCAATTTTACTATAAGATTATTTTGCTATGGGCTTGTTTTCCGTGTAAGAGCGGTATTGAAAAAAGAAACAGTGCAGATAGGTCTTGGGAAATTAATATCTACGCACATCCATATGTTGCCTACTTTACAGTCACAAGCCTTCTCTGACATCCTCTTCAAGCTACAACCAGTTGCAAAAATGATGAGACACTCCCACGGAAAAACGACCTTTCTTGCTTCAAATCGCTCCTGGTCACAGGTCTGTAAAATATAATACTGACCTTCCTCCTCCCTCCCATTCAAAGTTGTTCCTCCAAGTTTTGAGTATGGTCTTGTATTGCTAGCAACTTTGATAAGGGGTGGAGGGGGGTTCACAAGCACAAGATCATGGACAGGCCATTTAAGCCAAAATACGGTACAGTGTCTCAAGTACTTTTGCAACTGGTTGTAGCTCTCTTTAACATTTTTGCCGAGGAAACAAAGAGCACCTAAGGATCGGTTTGCGATATTATCATCATTATCAACATAAGGGAGCTTAAGCAACGACGACGGCGACGGCAACGAGAACAGCAAAAAGGAAATTAGTTTAGATTAACAAAACAACAACTTTGCACGTACATCACGCTCTCGTTCTTTCTACATTTCTTTGCAGTCGTTGCACTAATACAACGTGAAAGTACCTAATTTTACGTTTTGTCGAGGAGGCGAACACAAGATAACAACTTTCTTTTTCTTTTCCTCGACTTTGATACTGTCCTTTAGTATTCAACTTCGACAAAATGTGCCAACATTTGACGAATCAAACGAGATGAAATAAGCGCGACAAAGTTTGAAGCACTGCGATCATCATTTTTTAGCTGACGTTTTCGTAGCCGTCACCATTTTCCTGGTTGCATCATCACCACCACCACCACCACCAATTCTTATTACACCAATGAGACCATGGGTCATAAAGTGGTGTACTTACAACTTTATTTTTCGAGGGCGGCACTTGACAGTATAAAATACTGATAAACTCGTGTACTTCTTCCTTTTTCACATCCAACACGTCTACAGCACAAGAATGCGTGCCTAATATTCGAAGCCAAATGTAAAGAACCAGTGGATGTTCTTTGCTACTAGCTCAAACTCTTGACCATGAACGCGGCTTTAATTTAAGGATATGCTAGAAGCTTCAGCTCCCGCTGGCATAGCGCAAAGATTCTCAAGCATCATCAACAACGTGAGAGCCAGGGTTAGAGATTCTTCTCGATTTAAGAAATTGAATCGACAATTCAAGCTTACAATAAAGCTTACCTGTTTAAGCCGCGTGAGTGCAATCCTGTGTCCACTATCAGCCGTACAGCACGCCAAGTCTGTGGATGTGATAAAAGAGCTGGTTTACCATTTACAGAAAGATTCCGGAAAAGGCACCCCGGAAAGCTTCACTGTACTTTTATTCACCAGAATAGTTAGCAGGGTTATGTGTTTGAAGGACGTTACAGCTTTCTCCCGATCGCAAAATGATAAAACTTCTAGCATTTGATAACTTGTTTCCACCACTACGACATTCCCGCTAAAACTCGTAGTAGAATGACGACGGGTATCATGTTTTCCCGCCAAAATAACACTGGTTCACGCGCGAACCACTTAGGCTACATTCAAACGGCAACGGACACTTCGTTCACACCGGATCTTTCAATATTTTCGCTCTGTTCACACAAACTTTGAACGGCTAAGCGTCTAAATTTTCGTAGGGTGAAGGTGGTTCCGTGTGAACGCAAAATCTAAACGTACGAATTTTCAACCGCGTCCGGTGCCGTGTGAACAAAGATTTAGTATTGACAAATAGGAGCTTAAACAAAGGCGTTTCTAAGCAACGCAAGTCAACCGGAAGTGAGATATTGTTTATTTTTAAATAAATTGACAATACCAAATTTGTAATTCTTCGTCTCTTGCTTATTATAGAGACGATTTGTCCAAAAATTTGAGCAAAAATACCGCTCAAAAATGTAAAAAGGCCACTTCCGGTTGATGTGCGTCGCTCAAAAACGTCTTTGCGTAAGTTCACTAAAATCTCGCTCTCGCAGTCGTTCCCGCCTTAGAATCTAAACGTCTCTATGTACTTCTGACTGACTAACCTGCCATTTCAGCATACCATACTTCTGCAGAAGGTTATCCTTATAAGTATCTGTGTCATCAGATAGTATTGGGTTTTCACTGTACAGACCCCATCCCTCGGTAAATGCTGTATAGTATGTGTTCTTGTCTAGCCAAGCGGGAACACCACCACATTTGTCAGCAAAATGCTCTACGTGACCTGCGGGCGAAATATCAAAACGGTTTACAGTAGGAAATCGATATTATAAACCCATTATGTAACGTATTACCCCGGTACAAGGAATTATTATCCTCGTCTCAGTTACAGTAAAATTAATACAGAAAAATCGCGATTTCTCGATGATTGGGACCAAACCTAGATTCCCTTCGCCAGTTTAACACTATAATTCCAACCACTTTGCTTTTTCCAAGGTGGTTCGAAACACCAGGATTCCACAGTATGGTAATATCCAGATGTAACGAATCCCCATTTTAATGAATACAATTTCCTGTTATCTGTTATATCTGGGTTGCATCCGGGGCCAACAGGGGGTAGTAGTACATAGAGAATGATTTTTATCTCCCCAACTATAGTAAAATGCATGGGATAACAGCCCGATATAACATACCCTCGTTATAAAAAACACATTTTGCACTGTAACTGTCATCTCTCTCTCTCATAAAAGTGCCAAAGGCAAAAAGCAAGAAAAATTAAAATTTCCACGTCTTTAATAAATGTACTGACAAGCAAATGCGGCCATGCAAAAGTACTCTAGAAGAGGTTTGAAATGAATGGTTGCACCAAAGGAAGGACTTACGTTTAAGAGACTAAAACAACTGCTGAAGAGTTTTCACCTGAATGGTCACAGAAACAGAAGGATTTCGTCCACCGACTCAAAAGATAGTACTACGTACTAAGTACTACGTACTAAATAAATACAATGAAGTACTATGTGAAAGTACTGCTAAAGAGATTTCATTTGAATGGTCACACCATTAGATTGCGTTCCCAGGCTCACAAGCTAGAACTTCGAACTAAATAAATAGTTCGTGCAAATAGTTAGTAAAAGCCTGCTGAATAGCGGGTTTCAGCCGAGTGATAATTTTAATATCGTACAATTTCAAGGTTACAGACTTTTACGTTAGTACAACTTACATTTCTGTATTACTAACGTTGGCAAGTGAAAACTATTTGACCCACTTTTACGAATGGACAATAGGAAACGAAACATCTCACTATGGGCGTAGCCTAACTCCTTGAGAGAAAAAGCTTATCTTAGGATACCTGCGGACGTCGTTCCTATTGCGCGTTTTCCATCAAATCGTCGGTTTTTTCAACGAAATCGCCGCAGATCAAGAATTGTTTTGCGTGGCATTGACGTTAACAGCAAGCTCAAGAAACCACAACAACGACGACAGAAACGAGAAAACACGAAAAAGCTAAAAGTTAAAACTCTGAACGTGTCGCACACTTTTTGGCAGATTTCTTTGCCGTCATCGCACGACTCTAAAGTTGTCAAACTTGATCGAAATGGCTATGCGATCGTCGCTTTAACTAAGATCGTCGTTTCTGCAATAACGGTCGTTGCGACTTCGATTTCGAGGGAAATACCCCTAGAGAGTTTCAAAACTGAATGGCATGCGCAGCGCCTACCTTGAACCTGAGTATGATGGCCTGGCCTGGATTCGTGACCAGTGACAGACCACTCTTGGAAAATTGGACCAAAATCTTTAAGAAAAAACGGGAGTCCAAAGTATGCTGGTGAAGAACAAGCTGCGTCAGAGCTGCTGAAAAACTGGGCGCCATTGGAAGGGTTATAATGAGGAAGCATCTCAATGGGGCAGTTGGGCGCAGTGACCTTTGATCCAGTGAAATAGAAGACGTTTGTTATTTTGGGATAGAGCATACCCATCACTTGACGGCAGTACTGTGCCCATCTACAATCAAGATAAGATTAAACTTGAACAAATTTATGTAATAAAACAAAACAAACAACAAACAAAATTTCTTTACGTTGAGAGGGTAACACTTTAAAGTTTCAAGAACCGATAAACCCGTACGTGACCCACTAAGCCTGGGGGTGGCTTCTTATGATGGCCTATACGGGGAGGCTGCGCCCGAAAAGGGTATCTCTTTTAGGCTTTAGGTATATGACAGACTAAGGATCTTCCATTTGCCAATGGAAGATACCGTAAAATTCCGAAAATAAGCCCCTCCATGTATAAGCCCCCCAAAATCGTAACGCAAAAAACCCTCCGTTAAATCGCCCCTCCAAATATAAGCCCCCCGGGGGGCTTGTACTTGGAATTTTCCCTGGAATACAAAGTAAAACAAAGCAAACATGGTAAATTTCCTTCCCACTACAAGCTAGTCCAATCGATTTTAAAACGCAAATTTCCCTCCGTAGATAAGCCCCTCCGAATATAAGCCCCTCCAAAAATAAGCCCCTCAAAAAGGGCCTTTGAAAAATATAAGCCCCGGGGCTTATTTTCGGAATTTTACGGTATACGAAAGGGGTAGCTTTTCTGTTAAAACGGCATATACAAGGGTGAGGGGTTGGACCTCAACTAATTGATGACACTAATTCAAATAACGTTTCAATAACCGTGGCCTGTTGGGTTGATTTTAACACATCAAGGTGATTCGCATGCGTGCAAGCCTCCCATTTCCGTTTTCGAGCAGCGAGAGAGAATGCACAAACGAGCCACGCGAGAGAACGCAGAAGCGAGCTACGAGAAAGAGCGCGCAAGCAAGCCGCGAGAGAGAACAGGCGAGCGAGTTGCACGAAAGAACGCGCAAGCGAGCGACCGAAAGAGCGTGCACAAGAGAGCCACGAGAAGGAACGCGCAGGCATATCCCCCAAACAAAAGGCTTTCTCGCAGGCTACCATGTGGTTTAAAGATTATAAATCTAAACCTACTTGTTAACAGCTTTCCATCTGACAGGGCAATACTTTGCTGCTGTTTCAGGATCAACACACGTCTTGTATGCGTGTTCGTTTGATTCATTTACAGGAAAAGAGCCATTATTATGCCACATGCTGCGGGAGTCCAAGATCTTACGGAAAGCTTGAACCGCTTCTGTCTCGTCCGATTTGTTAGTGTACTTCTTGGCAATATCTATAACCTGTAACCAAAGCGTAGGAATAAATATTTAAGACTCTTACCCAGTCGCCATTTGTGTGTTCGTGGTGAGAGAACACTGGAGTTACGTTGAGGCGCGCGGGGACTCGTAAGAAGGGGCGAGGAGAAAATATAACTACTGTTCTTCGTCCCTTCCCATGACACCCCACGCACCTCAACCTAGCCCCAATCTTCTCTCGACCCAAAACACCGTCATGTAAACAGCAACTGGGTATGAGTCTTTTATTATTAGGGAGCTTAAATAAATACGACGACCTTGGTATAAACGCAAACGTAAATAAGTACAGTAGGACCCCTTAAGATCCGACAACGGGAATGAGAAGGTAAACAAGGATGTCAGGTTTAATTAGCAAAACAACTGTAAACGAGTATCACGCCTTACCCTGCGAACAGAGGTTTTTCTCTTGCATGGCATTCAGCGTTTACGAAGTCGTCCGCGTCGCTTATCAGTCGCGTAGTTGATTTGTTTTTTACGCCCCAGTAACACAAACCAACAACGGGACTGACAAGCGATGCAAACGACTTCGTAAACGCTGAATGCCATGCATGAGAGAAACCTCTGTTCGTAGGGTAATCACGCCTACATTTGACAAAGAAAGAGAGTTGGAATAAAATAAGATCATCGTAGTTAAAGACGCAACTTATGCAGTTGCGTAAAGAAATCCTGAAAAAAACTCAGGCTTGCCGGGATTCGACACCTGACCCCTACGACACTTACCCTGGGTACCAGAGGTTTTTCTCGCGAGCGGCAGAAATTTTCGGTGTTGGCCGAAGGCCGACACATCTTCGGCCGTAGGCCGAAGCCACGAGCGGCAAAGCCGCAAGAAAAACTTTTTGCGCGGGTCACTACAAAGACTTGACAGAAACCGGAAACCGCGCTAGAAAAGTCTCTGGCACCCAGGGTATGCGACACTGGGACTCTGCGACCAACTGGGAGCTGGTCATTGCTCCCAGATGGCTAGCTTACTCAAACTAAAAAGCGGTGGCGCCATCCTTATAGCCTGCGAGCAAGCTCTCCTATTTGGGCGAGTTAAAGGAGTCTCGCGAGAACGCGCGAGCGAGCGGCGAAGCCCAAGTAGGAGAGCTTGCTCGCAGGCTACCATCCTTATACCTACCCAACCTATCTGCAAATCTCTTCCAGTTTTTTAAAGAAAAGGCTTACCTGATCATAGAAAAACTTCAGTTGTTTCTTGCCTTCAACAAAAATCTCCTCAGGTGAAATGTCAGTTGTGGTGAAGTAGGAAAGAATCAACTTGTAGCTTTCGGTACCATTCGGTCGTTCCCCAGTAGGCAGGGTCTTGTTCGTTGGTTGGTTTATATCTGGTGTGCCATTAATATACACAAAATCCACAGGCAGGTTCGCCAAACCACTCGCCAAGTCATTTGGGAGACAGTGACTTTTGTGTTCATTATCAAGGTAGTTGATCAAGTCCAACAGCGGCTGGCCAATACCTTCTTCTAATGCCTTGGCTATTGATGCATTTACATTCTCCCCATTATGGCCCTTGGTCCACTTGTCATCCACTCCACTGGCAAGTTTAGCTAAGTAGTCGGTTTTCAAATAGCTTTTAGCAAACCATTCAGCAAGAACGCCAGCAGCCTCACCAGATAAGGAAAGCTGTCTGTAAGACTCTTTCAGGGCATCTACACCGGCCTGGCAGTCAATCTCTGTGCGAATCATCCCTGATTTCACGCCAAGTTGAACATTTTGTCTGGAAATAGAATAAAAATGGCATCAAAGCTGCAAATAAACGTAGGTCATCAGAAAATGTCTGCCAACTTAGACTGTTATCGGACCAGACATGATGTCAGTGATGTCTGGACAACGTTTACACCAAACTTTACACAAGATTAATTTGCAAATGAATTAGCGAATGTGAATTTTCGTGCCACTGATACAGCATGCAGGGCTTATGGCAGAGTATAACAACTGTCACAAGTAGTATAGAAGGGACAAAATTTTCCTTTTTTTGTGGTGAAATCTCTTTACCTTGCAAAGGAATACATTAACGTTTATGAAATCAGAGTCTTGTCTGTACCTCAAGGTGGTGTGCTATTTTAGGTGGTTTAACCGATTTGACAGGATTTCTGGGTATTTCAACGTTCACGGTTTTCTGAGTTTGATAGTAATTTGTTGATCCATGTTGTCAAAGAATTAAGGGCTAACTTGCCTGTGACTTCAAATCACTGAGCTATAACGTTATTTCCTGCGGCTTTCGTTGTCCATAAGTACAGGAAACAATTGTTCCAGTTCCGGTTCACTGATTCCTGGCGCGCAATTCATGCATATTAATGAGGGCGAAGGCAAACTAGCTCTTTCTACCACGAAACACAATTCTTTACTTACCCCTCCCCCTTCCTGCCTTTACCACCACCACCACCACCACAACCATCACCAAATTTCTATTGTTTTCCCTTCACCACAGCACCACCATCACATTTCTGCTGTTCATCAAAATTTTCATTAAAGGCGCAAACAAGTTAAAGCAATCACCTCCACCTCATTTATATAGTTTTCCACCATCACCACATTTCTATTGGTTTGCACAATTTTCAAGAAAGGTGTCACCAGTTAAACCAATTCATTTAACCAGCTACTAGACTTGCCAAAATTGACTGCGTGAGCGCCGAAGGCGCGAGGGACGCTCCCGAAGCGAGCAACGTAAGTCGAGAGACGCCCTGTGCCGTCTGCAGAAGATTGAACTTAATTTTCATAATGTTGGCGCGAAAAAATGGTTTAACAGCCGTATGACAGCCCGAAGGATGAACAGTTCTCATATGACTAGATGGTCTGAACACCGAGATAAATAAATATGACCTGCCCAGAAACAAAACCGTTTCCCGGGTCAGTCTTTGTCCTAAATCGAAAGAAGTAACTTCTATCTTGAGTGTAGAAAGTCTTTGAAATTCGAGTTTTCACCGAAGGTTTCTTGCGGACCACGCTAAGTCACCAGCTCGCGTAAACTTAGAAATCCTCGTCGGTGCGAAGCTGAGCATAGAAAGAAAAGCTGTTCGACTAAAATTATTTGTGGAAACTGTGCCAGAAGCAACAAAAACATGGTGAAAAACTAAGGTCCTTTGGATAAGAGAGCAATTTTTAGTACCTCGTCGAAAGAGAGGCTGGCACAGGCAGAGGTCCGTTCGCAGACTGGTATGTGGCTCCATACCCTGGGTGCCAGAGGCTTTTCATGCGCGGTTTCCGGTTTCGGTCAAGTCTTAAAAAGCGGCTTCCCCGCTCGTGTCTTCTGCTAAAGGCCGAAGACGTGTCGGCCTGCGGCCGACGAAGCTCCTCGTCACACGCGAGAAAAATCCTCTGGTACCCAGGGTAGTGGCTCCATAAAATCGGTCAAAAGGTAAACTTAAGACCCTAACGATCAATTTCGCAGCGAACGAAAAGCCCTTGTATTCAAGGAAACTAGCATCATTGCTCAACCTATTCCCTTGGTGAAATCAACAGCAAAGTCCGTATGGCAGGATGTATGTTTTCAAACACCGCGATGTGAAATGTTAGGCTTCTCACTGAGCCTGTCGACCCAACCATAAAAAAATCTCCACCACTAACCTACCCTATACCACGTTCCTCTGATTCTCTCTAATTTCTTTGAAGCTAAGTTTCCTTACACCGGTCGGAGTTAACCGCTTCGTGTGCGTTCATTTCCTACGCTTCCTTCACTTCAAAGTCAAGTGAGTGCCAAGCCAAGGATTCGCCTGGATCAAGTTTCCTGAGTACGAACGTAACAAGATCAAGAGTTTTTCCTGATTGGGTATCCCGAACACCCTCGTCACACCGCCGGCCAGAAAACTGGCCGGTCAAAAATAGCGCGCTGCAGGAGAGAAACATCCGTTTCCCGGCTGACCACCTAACCAGCAGAAACCGGAAACAGGCTTTAAGAAAGTCTAGACTAGCTACATGAACCTAGAATTCCACCGGCTCTGCTTCACAGTGGAACCCAAGCAGTAAAAATTGTAGAGAACATGTCAACAAAATATGAAAACTTTGTCCAGAGACAATAATTGTCTCCTGTCACTACTAATTATTAGTAGTGAGATCTTAAGTGTAAAAAAATATGTCACCTAAATTGAGTACCTGTAACGGTCAATTGGTGTCTTGTGTTTCCTGATGGTGTCAATCACCAACTGGACATCATCATAGGTCTTAGGTTTTACATGATAAGCAAAGGCATTGATATCCCAAGCCAGAGAACAAATAGGCTGCCAGCAAAATAAGTCAGGACCTAACATCCAGTCTCCTGCATAGTAATTTTCAGCATATGGAACACCAAATGTATGCTGTAGAAAATGCTTCACCTTTAAGAAGAAAAGACAAAAATGATGAGCATACAGCATGTGAGGAGACTGAAAATCTAGCCAGCAGGCACAGATCCACACCAGTTTCCACCGTTTTATGAAAATCAGTCAGATTTTAATAAATAAAATAATTTATTTTAATAAAAATAAAACTTTCCAAGTTGAAGACTGGCCAACATCCTGTCTGAATGACTCAGAAACCCAGGAAAGGGGACTTCGGGCAGTTTAAATCCAAAACATTTCCCAAGGAAGAGCATGCCCTGGGCCCCCCTAGAGGCTTGCACCTTCGGCGCTCATTTAGAAAATCTGTCAGTATGTATCCTAGATCTGCGCCTTAAGTCAATGTCTTAAGTCAGAATAAACAAAAAATACAAATTTCTTTGCAGAAAGCTGAAAAACAAAATAATAGTATCATGTGACAAGTACTCAAAACGGAGGAGAATTATGAGACAAAAATTCAATTTGGCACCTTTGGTTTCTAAAATGGAGATCATAAATCAAGTCCCTTAATGACTCAGAAAATTGATTACCATAACTTGTGACAGTGTATAATGTTGTGGGTCAAAATGAAATTTAGGTTAAAATGGTACCTTTTGACCTAGACAGGTTCTCAGTTTCCATTGTAACAATAATGACTATTTTAAAAAAAACTGCAACTGTAATATGTGTTTTGTCAATAAACGTAAAATTATATTTTTAAAAAAAAATTAATGACTATTTTAGACCTAAGAGACAGGACACTGACGAATCAAATTAAATAAAATCAAAAACTTTATTTCACTTTGAATTTCAAAAAATAGCATCAACTAATGCTAATATCTCTGAAGGTAAAGCAAGAAAAAAATAATAAATAAATAAATAAATACTGTAAGTAAATAAGAAAAAAGTATTTTGAAACAGTTTTAACCTGCAAGGATTTCATTTCGACCTGCAACTGTTTTCACCTTAAACATTTCAGCTGTATGTTTTATCTTTTTAATGAGCACATACTGTAGCCATTGCAAATGATTTTAGGGGATGATTACTCCATTAAATTAAACATATCAAAAACTCATGGAACTTTGTATCAGGCAGGGAAGGGGTGAGCAATTTGACATAAAATATGGACAAATAGTCCTTCAATCTCTCAGCTGATTTATAAAACACACTCAATACCTGAACAAGGGCTTTCACTTCTCTTGGCTTCATTTTGTTTTCGTCAATCTTAATACTTGTTATTTGTTTAAGTAGCTCTAAGGCTCTGTCTGTTTTCTTCTTCAGTTGTACTGGATCTGGGTTATAAGGGAAATACCTGAAATCAAACAACAAATTAATCAGTGCGAACTGACAGTTTCTTGGGAATTTTCCTCCTTTTGTGATGGAAAAAAATGTATTAACTTTTATTCCATCAACAACAGACCATTTCTGGGCTCCAAGACCCTCACTTTCAAGATGAAGCCAAGTGCAAGACTTGTCTTGTGAAAACGAGTTTTATTTAAAAAAAAAAACAGGGGCTTAACACTTATTGATTGCCATACCTGCCAACTTTTTCTAAATTTATAGGCATGACATTTTCATTCTGAGAGTGCCAGGATTTTTCGAAGGGTTCTGATAATATCCGAAGTTGTCCGAAGACATTCTGTTCTGAAGAGTTCCATCTATTAACACAAACACAAGAACGTGACCCTATCTCCAGTGACTTTCCCTACTAAAATATGAGAATTCAGAGAAAGTCAATCATTCACCTGGACTTTTCTCTCATTGGTTCCAAATTCTTTAAATTATTAATACATTTTTCAAAAATGTGTAAGTTACATATTTTTCTGACAAACTTTTCCGGTCATATTTTCTCTTTTTACCTTCCCACTATCAGACCCCCCCCCCTCCCCCAGAGTACTCCCTATCATAGCCCATACATGGAAGCCCCACCCTGAAATGGGGACCTTTTGCACCCTACAAGTATATAAAATGATAGGGATCCATCAATTGAAATATATAAACAGATGGAGAAATCTGCCATTTTGGTCTGTAAAAGGACCCAAAAGGGCTAACAGATGTATTTTATGGATGTGAAAAAGACAAGAATACTTCCTGGATATGTGAGTTATTCATCTTTAAAAGACATACAGTGCATTTAGAGCAGTCAAAGTAGATGCAAAGTTCTTAACTAGGTATGTGAAAGGGGTATCATTATAGATCATGAATAGGAAAGAGGTAGGAGCCTCCTTAAATAAAACTCTGGACTTGGTTGTTCAAAGCTGGGTTAAGATAACCCAGGATTAGTGCAAAATTTGAATTCAGATATGAAAGCTTAAAAAGTACATTCAACTTAATTCTTTTTGTCAACAAGATGTTGATTGGATGCTAGCTCTTAAAAATAACAGAGAAAACTATCCGAGAAAATGCTTTTGAACAAAATAAAAAAAAAACGGGTTAAATTTAACCTAGGTTTAAGCGCTAATTGGCCTTCGAACAACTAGGCCCTGTTGAGTAACCCCACAGGAGCAGTGAACTCCACTGGCCTTCTTCCACCTAAACTTCTCAAATCACAGTCCAGTGTGGAGCAGCTACTTGGCCTTATAGTTTTTAACTGCATAAATTAAAGTCGCCCTCCCCTCTAATCGTCTCATTGTACCTTCTTTGAGCATATTAATGAGTAGCAGACTTAAGGTCTCGGTAAAGGAAAACGAGGTGCCCACAGAAAAAAATTCTAGTCGCGCGAGTATTTTCGCTACAAAGGCAAGTTATATATCAAATTAAAGCTAAAAGACTAAATTACCTTTTAAAAGTCAATTATGCTTAAGCCGTGGTTAAAGAAGGAACAGTAAGGAAATACACGGACTCATCAAGAGTACATCCAAAAGCTAGGGCGCGCAGCGTGAACAAATTTTTGTGTTACCGGTATTTTAATTTAAGCTTACACAAACATTAGTAATCTCTATTAAGTTTTAAATTACTCAAGCTATAGTACCTTTGCTTTACATGCTCATCAGGTTCTTCAATATCTGGTTGCCAAGCCACGCTGTTCGGATTCAGAGCATAGTACTCGGTCTGCACTTGCTTTAAAAACTGGGGCAGTTTTGTTCGATTTGCTTCTTCGGAATACAGGCACATTTGATCCGCTCCTGCAGACTTCCCAGGTTCTGCAGTCGTCTTGACCATAGTTGTCTTGACACAGGACGTTGTTGTTGATTTTGTTGCACCTAAAATCACACAGACTAATCCAGCCACAAAAAGCAGGAAGGCAAATACTAAAACTACCCAAAGCCAGACGGGGATAACTGCGAGCTTTCTCTTGTTACTGAACGCGATCGCTGTCCATTTTTCTTCCACTTCTTTCTCAGAGGACGATTTCTCCTTCAGCACTTCCACCGACTCGGAGTATTTCTTCATAAAGACACCTTGCATTGTGACGGTCAACACGTTCTCGCCCGTTCGACCGACCTCGGACGTCTGAAGCAGTATCAGGCTAGTTCGAAACAATAAAGAAATCAGATTTTGAGCCCTCTTTCTGTCTTTCAATTTCCGAGCGCACCGTACCAACCAAAGAATGGAGTGTTTGTTTGTTTTAAGATTCGAGCACTCTGATTGGCTGTCGCACCGAACAGACGCCCTGGGTCCAGGGAAAAATGCACCACAAACTTGAAAAGCACTTGGAAATCCTTGAACTGCACTTCAGATTTCTGATAAGAAAGTCTCGCGACACTTCGCGGACTTTGCGACACTTTTTCGCCCTTATACCATGGATAATAGAAAGAGTCTTTCTATTATCCATGCTTATACCACGTCACCACTACCCAGTTACTTCAAAGTAGGGAAGGTACTCTCTTAGGTTGAAACTGAAGAGAGGGGGCTCTGAGAGTTTATAGTAAATCGTTTCCGTTCTCCGGAGGTCAACTCAAAATTGGTCATTTCACGTCCTAGTTATGCAGGGACAGTAAGGAAATGTACAAAAAAGCGTGATAGACGGGCAGAGTTGTTGCTTTGCTCATAAAACCTATTGGGCCAGTTTTTTATACGGAGTTTTAGTCAGTGTTTAATAAAACCCGTTCTAAGCCATTTTCAGTTTGCCGAACGCCTTTATGTAAACACCATTTATTGTGGACAGTTTTATGAAAACATATCGCCTAGACTAGAAAAGCATTTGTCTTCTTAAAATGACCTACTAAAAAAGAGACCCGAAGGTCCAAAGGTCTCCAAAACCGCAGTCTCAGTTATTCTTCGTTTAAATAACCGTTCCCGTCGTAATTTCGTGAGGTCCGTTTCAAAACGTCACTTTCAAATAAAAAGTGATATGTATGAGATAAGTTCGTTGAGTGTTTAGTTATATTTTACTTGTTTAGAACGCCAATGTATATTTGAAATAGAATCGCAAGATATGTAGAAGAATTTCATCCGATTACTTCGAGTCGTTATTACTACTCCCTCTGTAACGTCGTTGCCCAGACGATAAAACGACTCGAAGCAATCGGATGAAATTCAGGCTATAAGATAGCGCATTTTATCCTTTTTTAGTCACCCTTGGAAATTTCTGAAGGCTTTTTTTTCGATCATGAGCCCCAGTTTGGGATCCAATCAAAACAAAGTGCAAGTCTTTTTAATACTGCACGCAGAATGCACGCTTTTAATATCACGTGTTCACGCGCAGCGCATGCTAAAACTGCTTGCTTCGAGTTAGTTTAGAGTCGTTGGGGCTTTTAATAATAAGCTACTTTTACTTTCCGACATCAAAATGCTTCATGTTTAACACTGATAGAGTTACCCTGGGTGCCAGAGACTTTTCATGGGCGGTTTCCGGACGAAGCTCCTCGTCACACGCGAGAAAAAATCTCTGGTACCCAGGGTATAATAGAGTGGAGCTAAGACCAAACTACCACATGTACAAGTCTTGCAATGTTACAACAAAGAAGGCATTATATGCATGGAACCGTTACTTTCTTACTAATATATACGAAATATCTGTTGTGGTTCAATTTTATCTTCGGTTTAAATTTTCTTTTCTTTTATTTGGGGGTATGGTAATGTATGATAATGAGTTTACAACAAAAGAAAATAACATTTAGACCGAGGATAAAAATGAACCACAACATATACATAGAACGAACTAGCATTTATGAATGTAAATTTAAGATTGGTAAAGAACATCAAAAATAGGAACTTTTGTCATCTCTACAAGTCAATAATATTCACTGTAATCCACGTCCAAGAATCCACTCTTTTTCGCGCTGGAGGATTCTTCCCTAAACTGTTGATAATATTTAACAATTATTGGACGAGGTTGAGCAAAATATCGTGATTTGTCAGTAGCGAGCAGATCAATTTTTCGGCTGAGGCAAATAATTGATCTGTGAGACGCAAACTAGTCTCTAATTTTCAGCTATTGTCTCTGAATGAACAGAAAACAGCGAGTCCACTTCTCCTCCAATAACTCTGTACTGCGTTTCCTGAAAAAAAAAAATTGGAACACATGTTTATGAATATGTAAACGCATACAATCTTATAAGATTCTGACTTCAATAAAACGAGACATTCAATGTAAATAGCCAGAATCGAGGATGAGTCAGTCATTAATGTACCGTCGATTGCAGCTAAGAGTGTACATATAACGAAAACACATGTTCTTATTGGGTGCAAAAATAACACCTCGAGTTGGTGCCCTATTTATAGGAATGCGGGAACAGTTCATTCAGTGTTCAGTGACCAGGGGCAACCAACGTCCATTTTTGGAAAATATCTGTTCGGAAGATGATTTGAGATCTAGAATTTTCGGAACATTTGTTGTAAAATTTCTTGCTTGCCTCTCTCCTAGTATTTTCGAACATCTAAAAAATGGTATAATTGCCTATTTTAAACGGATTTTTACCTTAAAAAGGTAACCTAGAATTTTCGGGAGCCTTTTTTCTGGCTGAAATTTTCGAAAAGGTAAGTTTTGATCCCTATAATATTCGGATCACTAGACTGTCAGCTAGGAAATCTGAACAGATAAAAAATTTTTAGGGGATAAAAATATGCCTATATCTACCGTTTCAATACTAAAATACGTTGACCAATGCTATGTTTAAGTGGTTTTGAGCTATATTCTCGTTGGGTGCCCCTGAGTGACTGAATAATCGAGTAGTTGAGCGGCTTACCTGATCAAGTCTTAGGAACTCTGTCCTGAGAACAACGAAGAAAATTATGATCGAAGGAATTGACAAGAACAGTGCAATATCATACGCCGTCAGGAAATACTTTGGACTACCTGGGTAAAAAATTGTACAAGAATTCTGCATACAGTCGTTCCTCCTGTACACGATTACTCAAAATGCGCAAATTTAGCGGTCGCTTACGGAAAGCGGACGCTTTCAGGAGGTGGTCGTTTACAGAAATTGAACCACAGGGTCTCCTGCGGGAACAGGTCTGGCACATTTACTTACTTAAGGCTAGTTTTCACTAGCGACGGAGTCGGAGTCGTGACCAGAAGCGTAGAGCTTATGATCTAGTGAAAACAGCGTTCCGATTTCGCTTACGACTCCGTCGCTTACGTTCCGCTTATGATCTAGTGAAAACCTGATTGTCGGAGTCGGAAGCAGAAGCAGAAGAACCAAACCAACCACAAAGCGTGGGAACGTGCATTCTGATTGGCTTATCCTTCCGCTTCTGCTTCCGACTCCGACAATCTGGTTTTCACTAGATCATAAGCGGAACGTAAGCGACGGAGTCGTAAGCGGAGTCGGAAGAAAATGGAAACGTTCTGATTCTTCTGACTCCGATTCCGTCGCGCTTATGACTCCGCTTACGACTGCGTTTCTTGATTTTCACTAGGTCATAAGCGCTCTTACGACTCCGCTTACGACTCCGACTCCGACTCCGTCGCTAGTGAAAACCAGCCTTTAAGGGCAATTTACTGCGGAAAATGTCTTAGGCTCAATTTCCGTCGCTATCCCGGTCCTTCGGGAAAGGAGCGCGGGCTCAATTCCCGAACAGCGGCTGGTAATAGAGCCTAAGAATTTCTGAGTTCAAGCAGGAGTTCAAGTTAAAACAAAACACACATTGTCGCTAAAAGACCATACTTGACATGTTCTAAAGTTCAGCACGGCGTAGTAAATACAGCGAGTATAGAGCTCAGACAAAGGGAGTTAAAGCTACGGTAAAACGGGCAACAGAAACGTGCAACTTGTTCTGCAACATTGCTACAAAACGACGTTTTACCATCCACAAATGAAACCTGTCCGTCAGGTTGTTGTAAGTTACATGAATACTGATTTTTGATTGGATAAAACCACGCCATACACGGGAGTTACGTCACTTGCTGCAAAACAAGTTTTCCTTGGACTGGGAAAGCGCCCAAAACGCACAGATTTTGTTGCAAGAGGTAGAACTACTCTCTACCTCCCGCAACAACTTTTCGCAATCTTCAACCACCTAATTTGTTGCAAGACAGGTTTGAACGACGCTAGTAAAACGCGCAACATCGCTTTTCAACTCGTTTTACAGCAATGTTGCAAAACAAGTTGCACGTTCATGTTGCCCGTTCTCCGAGCGGATAAAAAAAGGATTCTGTTCACACGTAAGAACAATGATTTCGGCGCGATTTCTCTAACGATGCGAAGCTGTACCGCGCCGAACTCTAAAAGGAGATCGCATATTGGATAGGTGTTAATAGCACAGTCAAAGCTCTCGTAAGCGACCACCTCAGAAATTAAAAAAGTGGTCATAATAAGAGCTGCTCGCTTACTAGCCTGGGACCAGGCTTCGCATTGTGGGAAAAAGNAAAAGGAGATCGCATATTGGATAGGTGTTAATAGCACAGTCAAAGCTCTCGTAAGCGACCACCTCAGAAATTAAAAAAGTGGTCATAATAAGAGCTGCTCGCTTACTAGCCTGGGACCAGGCTTCGCATTGGGGGAAAAAGGAGAAAAAATCGGCGTTGGCGAAAAAAAAAAAAAAAAAATCGGCGAGCAAAGCGAGCCGAGAGGTAGTCTAGGGAGGAAAAAGGGTTGCGGACCCCGTTTTTTGCTTTTTTTCCCCACTGCGGAACCTAGTCCCAGGCTATACGCTTACGAGAATAGGCTCTCTCGTGCGACCTCTCGCGCCCGCTTACGGAAGTAGTCGCTAACGAGAGCTTTTCATTGCAAAGTTTAATTTCCCTCATAAAACAGTGCACCCTTTCGAAATTTTCTTGCAGTTCTTTCTTCCCCCACCCTGTACAAAGTTGAAACTCAGAAAAAAATTCTGGATACACGCGTCCAACGTTGTTTGTGAGGGGAGGGGTTGGGCCTGTATGAATTGGAAAAAGCCCCAGAAATGCACAAGTGTCCAAAGAATTTTGTCCATGATTGAAGGTGGTCGTAACTAGAGCTGGTCGCTTACGACAGTGGTCGCAAGGAGAGCTTCGACTGTGTACCAGACAGCTTCTCGAGCTAAGACATTTATCAGGGGACCATTATTAAACAAGATTAAGCAACCACGATGGTGACGGCAATGAGAACTTCCAAAAAGGCAATATATACATTGCTTCCACTTCTCCGTTTGTTTGAACAAAGTTTTTCCATTGACCTCCCTTATTTTATGAGCTGTTTCCCAGTGAAGTTATTTTAGTACTCACATGAGCAACTCAAGCATGTTGACCAGATAAATGACGGAATATCCCCAGGCAAGGTAAATACTACTCCAGCAATAACAAGTAACTGCAAAGAAAATTAAATGCAAATCAAGAGCATATTTGAAGGTGGACTTCAAATGAACAGTCCATATTACCTATAAGCTGGCCTTACCTTGACCACAAATGTTGGACCGTCTTCATTTCTCTTTGCTGCGATTAAAACAGCCAGGACAACTGTGCTGATGCATTGACTCCAGAAAAAGGACATGTAAATCCAGTAAAACAGACCAGGTTCGTCCTTATTAACTTCTTCCCTGAAAAGGTAAGCCAAGATAAGGTTAAGTCGGACACGAGGAATGTAGCCTGCGATCCGGCATGTCCTATCTGGTATGTCTCTATCAGGGACCTTAAGCAACGACGACGGTGACGGCAAGATTAGTGAAAACAACAACTCTTCACGTGTATCACATTTGTATCACGCTTTCTTGTACATTTCCTTACCGTCACTGCACGAAAACGATTCCGTGAAACTGCCTAATAGGGACTTTAAGATCCAACGACGCGGACGGTAACGAGAACGTCAAAAAAACAATAGTTTTGATTAGCAAAACAACAACTTTGCACGTGCACCATGATTTTTTGTACATTTCTCCGCCCGTTTTTGCACGACTACGACACGAACATGCCTAATTTCGCGTTTTACCGAGGACATAAACAAGCAACAAAGAAATTTTATTTCTCTTACTGTACTTGGATATGGTGCGTAGGAATTCAACTCCAGGAGGGTTCGCCTACATTTGACAAAGTAAGTGGGTAGGAATAATTGCGAGGTAGACTGAAGAACGGAAATTCACGTTTTAAGCGACGTTCTCATTGCCGTCGCGTCGTTGGATCTTAAAGTCCCTAATGTCAAGTTTTGTGAAGGACGTGAACACAGGGCAACGACCTCCTTTTTCTTTTCCTGCAATTCAGACTACGTGATGTTCTCAAAGAAATTTGCCTTTTGTCTTTTCATAAGTTATGCAGACAAACGCACGTGGACAGGATGACAATTGAGATAAATAGTTCTCTGGGGTAACGTCAAATGGTCTACAATGGGAAAACAAAACAAAAGGACTAGATAAGAGAAACAATGTCCAGAAGGTTATGGAAATGTATGACGGTAATAATAATATTTAGTAAAATCCAACTAGTGGTCTATGATCAATGCTGCGTTCTGATTGGTTGAGCTACTACTAGGCTATATGTCATAGCCCAATAGTAGCGAAAAGCGCCGGCTTTTTGGCGCAAAAAGGATTAAAGTCTATCTTTAAGCAGCTTAAATTTTTTCATTGTCGATTTTTTTGACCAACTAGTTGGCCTCTGAGTCAATAGCCTATGAGGCCGCTATTGACTCAGAGCCCATTCAGGCTCGAGGAATAATTGTTAAACATGACATACATGGTGATATGTACTTACAGTTCTTCCAATAATATCATAAACAGGATGGCAAAGATAAATTGTGCCATAAAAACAGCTTCAGTTTTGCTGTTCTTTAGAGTCTAAACAAGGAGACGAAAATAAGAAAATGAGACAAACAAAAACGCTTCTGTCTTTAGTTTTGTTCAGATGGATGTAGCATAAGACACAGTGTTTCATAACCAGATAAAACACTGAGAAGAGACCTGAAATTACGACGTGCAGCGGAGTATTTTTGAGGAAACGAGGTGTTTCATCTGGTGATGAAACACTGTGTCGAATGCTTGATATTACTTATCAAACAAAGAGATTTTAGCAGAAGAAATTAAGGATGCAAAAATGATAATTTTCTCATCTGATTTCCAAACACTCATTAAACAGTAATTTCCTTTGTATTTTCTTTATGAATTATTTATGAACTTAAGAAAGTTCAATACCATTATAATATGGCTTAATTAATTTTCCAGGTACACCATATAGTAAAACAATAATAATATTACTGTAATATTCAAAATTCTACAAACAACATAATATAGAAATATTTATTTACAAAAGTAAGGAATAGCACAAGTACTAGACTTGCCACAAGTTGACTGTGTGAGCGCCGCGACATAAGTCGTGAGACAAGCGACATAAGCCAAATGACCACCCCACTAGTAAAAACCGGAAACAGGCTTTGAGAAAGTCTACACAAGTACAAGTCAAACCAGAAAGATCAAGTTTCTTTAGATCAGTTTTAAAAGTTCGATAATGTTGCCAGTATTCCCAAAATTGTTGAAATTTCACAATAACGCTGCTCAATATCTATTGAAATCATGGTATTGACCACCTATTGAGAATAATTTATAAGAATAAGACTAAGAAAAAACTGAATATTCACCCTAGTAGCTGCTGAAAAGCCACCGTGCTGCGATGAACTGGATAAATCTTCAGAATTAAGACTGTTTATCTCTTGTTGCATAGATCCTTGAATTGGGTAAAAAAAATGCCAATTTAGCACCAACTGTGCCTGATGAACATACAAATTAATGTTCCTTATAGGCAATAAAAAACGTTGCTATGTGGTACGAAATTTTTGTGGTATGTAAGGTCAAAGAATCCTCTGACTTATTTTCATGGCATTTGTGAGAAGTGAAAAATCAGATCCAGTATGAAAACACCTGGAATCATTTTACTCTACTGTTTTAGCTATAACTGACAAAAAAATCAGTTACAACTAGGTTATTTCTCAGTAAGGCATAAATCATGCGTTTATAACCTTCATTAACAGTGATACTTACATATAGTGTAAATATCTTTAAGAGAAAGCTTTCACTCAGGTTACATGTACATGTAACAGCCCAGGCGTACATGTGATTGAAGTTATTTCTTGGAAGGATAACTACAAGAATTTTTAATAATATTGTTTCTAATTAATTTATTTCAAATTACCTCCTGATCTGTATATCCTCTGATGATTTAATGCCCACAGCAAGCACAAAACCTACAAAATGTAATAAATTATCCAATCAAACAACAAGCTGTCTGATAAAAAAGAAAGGAAAAACAAAGTCCACACTTTAAGGCGTTGAGATTAACAATTAGGGTACTTTCTAATTTTTCCTCTCTTGAAAATTAACATTCCAAGTGCTTAGAACTAAGGATTAAATAATGATGATAACATTCACCTAAGTGCAAGAATATCAAGAGTAAAGAGTTTACCTCCAAAGACTTTAAAGCTCCATCTGAAAAAAGTGAGTTTAAAAACAATGGCAAATGGGTGATTCCAGAAAATATCCATACCCTACCACGGGTGGCATGAGAATTTTAACCCCCCCTTGCCCTCGGAAATTCCAAAATGCTTATCCCCCCCTTGCCCTCCGAATTCCAAAATCGCTAACCCCCCCTCTCCTCCGGAATTTTCCACTTTTGTTTCAGACCCTTTGGAATTCCTGTTCGTCTGCCTAAATCTTCAAACGAACGAGAAACTTGCACTTTTTCCCTCTGCAAAAGANATCGCTAACCCCCCCTCTCCTCCGGAATTTTCCACTTTTGTTTCAGACCCTTTGGAATTCCTGTTCGTCTGCCTAAATCTTCAAACGAACGAGAAACTTGCACTTTTTCCCTCTGCAAAAGAATTCTGTTCGCAATTTTTAGTCAGACGATCAAGCAACTCAAGTTTGTTAACGTTAGTACACTGTAGCTATTCCTTCTAAGCATTATCTTTAAGCTGCTTACCACCTAATAGAACTTTTTGTTTTCCATTCAATACCGTCATATTTTCAAGAGTAGATCGTATTGATACCAGTGGACGCTGACAAGAGTAAAGTTTACGATCGATATTCCGTGAAATACAAAATCTGTCAGGCGTTCTATTTGGAAACGAGAGACTGGTGCGAGTTTTCAGCACGCAACAACACATCGTCGATCAACAATCGGCGAGAAACACCGACTTGGTTATATTTTTATTAATCAGTTGACTAATTCATCAACTTTAAGGCCTCTTCGATGTGGAGCTCGCTGCACAACCCATCTGCTTACCCATCTGCATGAACGCATACTTCTTTCGTGGTCGGTTCGTGCTTCATTTACAAACTGGGAATGTTAACAGGTCAGCGATTTCAAGGGGAGCTTTCGCCGTCTTTCCTCTGGAAATTCACTGAATTCAGAGCTGAAACACCCCCCCTCCCCCCATGCCTTTGGAATTCCAAACTGCGTTACCCCCCCACGTCTTCGGAATTCCAGTCCAAGAAACCCCCCCTCTCCCTCGGAATTCCAAGATGCCGCCCGTGGTGTGGTATGGATATTTTCTGGAATCACCCAATGTAACAAAATCATGAAAATTATGATGAACCAAAACAAATATAATCAACCTGTGCAGGGTGCAAAGAAAGTCAGTTCTACAGCTTGCCATTCAGGCAAGCTGTAGCTGACATGTATTAGCCCAAAAGTCATTTCACCTAGCCCGAAAAACATTGTGGATGAATTCCCCAAAAAAGGTCACTTGCCCATAGGGTGAGTTCAGAACAGAATTCACCAGCCCAATACGCTCTTCTCACGTATGGTAATATGCCCGTCTAACCTCGTTTTTGAGTAAAAAATCCTTTGAAATGCTAATCAGACGACGTTTTCGTATTTGAATTTCAAAAGAATTTTTACCCGTAAACGAGGTTAGACGGGCATATTACCATATGTGAGAAGAGCGTATAGCAAAATCCACAAGCCCCAGACAGTCGGACACTCCTTCCTTTGCACGCTGAAGTGCAATGAAGAATGCAAGAAAACAATTTAATTATATCAGCGAAAGCATTTGTGACATTCCTGGATTTGGTCTATGGGGAGGACATGGGGGATTACTGTATTGCAGTGTTGAGCTTTTTTTCAAGCAGTATCAGTAATTTTGATTTTGATGTGCAGTATTGCCCTATCATTTAGCCCTGCGGTATGCGGTTTTTCATCCTTCTGGCTAACAATATTTGGTAAAAGAAGATCCTTCACGGTATTAAGGTACCATTCATTTGGCTCTCCTGTCTAGTGCAGGTCAATATCTGACAGACTTTGGACTTAATGGTGAATGATTACACAATTTGTGACGGTTAATCTACAGTACGATGAAATTGGTAGGACATCCAATGACCGGGCTTTTCGATCATTGTACTGACCAATTCAATGTCTTCTCACATTTTCTCACAATGGCTGAGATTGATTCTTGGTGTTTACATGCTTGAGATAAAATAACATGTGAGATGGATACAACTTTAAGTAAGCGTGACCCATCATAAATATGGTATCGGTATTTCATCAATTTTAGACACGGTATTTTGGTATCTGCCAATTTTTCTTATGGGATTGCGGTGTTGGGTATCCCCCAATGTCCCCTTCATCTATCATCTGACAGTTAACTTTGATTATTATCTAAAACTTGGGAAGTTCAAAATGATTTTTCCTAAAACATGCATATCACACAATACTCAAACCCACCAGGATCACACAATAAAATATTAGTATAGGTAATAGCAAGATTTGTAGTGATATTTGGCATAAATACCACAAGTGATATTTTGAAATTTGAAACAATTTTGAAATACTACGAGTGTTTTTATGCCAAATATCACGTACAAATTATGCTATTATTTGTTTATACTACTACCTGCAAAAGGTTTGTAATTTTCACATGTTAAGGTATTTCAAGTTAAGCTGAAATACCACTGCTCTAAGCCAATCAAATTGCAGAAATTTCTCTTGTAGTAGTCTAAATGCAGGGATTTAAACAGCATAGCCAGCAAATTTTTAGTGGTAAGATTTCTCTTTGCTAAAAATTTCAGGGTTGGCGAGATATACCTACAGTGGAACATTGTGGGTCGCAGAAAATTTTGATCCAATAGTAAATACATTACAAAGTCTCACAAGCCTTTTTGATAATGGATTTTGTTTTTGTACTTTTTCCAGGGTCTGAAACTTTCTGCTGTAGCTTTTTTATAGAGTCGCAGATTTTCAAGCAGGGATCTCGGCAGCCTGGCGAGTCTCAGATCTTACCATAATTCCATCAACAGTGAAAGAAAGCCATACCTTGCTGCTGTGTTAAAACTAAATCATAACATTTGACCAGTTTGCAGAATTTACCTGCTATAAAATATGCTGTCAGTTGACTCTTATAATGAGAAGAATCATTAGGAGGTGTGATGGCATATATTACTGCACCCACAACTGACCTATAAAAAAGTACATTTGTATTCTGTGATAACATTCATTAGTAATATTGATTATTAATATTTTGCAGTCAAAAAAAATATAATGTATTTCCACGTTAGTTTTGTGGCTGTACTAATAAAGATATAGTCCATCCAAAAATGGCTAGTCTCACAAAAATATAACTTCATGAGTCTCAAAATCTCAGAAATTACTGGCACAGTTATAGAAGATACTGAAATCCTATGCTCAATAGAATTGAAGCCTCAAATTTTGAAAAATATAACTTATCAAAATCTCTAAAACTGTATATAATTTAGCAACTGAAGATGATTGAAAGTAAAGCTCATTTCTGTAAATAATGCAATCAAGCAGCACACATCTCTGTTCAATGATTTTAGTATGGACCTTGAAAGCTTCAGTACTAATTGGAGTTCCAGTTAAGTCTGGGACTTGAAGAGCTGAAACAGGTGTGGACCCTGAAGAAAACGTGACCATTTTTCTATAACATCATTCTGCACCAAAGGCACTTGCACATGAGGGGAAGAATTGGGCTGCACAATCTCCTGAAAACTTTGAGTTTAAACTACCTTTTTCTGTAAATGGTTTGGTTTAGTGTAAACCACTGTGTATTAACTGTCAACTGATTAATTTGACAGTCTCAGAGTCAATAAGATACTCTTTTGGCCTCATAAAAAGTATCAAATTTACCATTCTATACAGTAAAAAAGATCTGCTGACCCTTGCCAATTAAATGAATTTCTTGTCGGTTAATTTGGAGAAGAGAAAGCAGAAGACATGTCAAAAAACCTCCAAGGTTAGGCAGAGACACAATTCATTAACTTACCTCATAAACAGGACAATAAAGTAGGTGATCCATGGAATGTTAGAGATAACCTTGCTTCTTACAGTTACATTCAGGACTTTGACACTAAAATAAAATGATATAACTGAACAATAATTTATATTATTTTATAATGCATAAACTGTGCAATTCATCACAACAATGACATTGGAGAGAATTGTACAGAAGCAACCAAAAGGCTCTTCACCTTTTAAACTAAGAGCTACCGAAATTCATGTATGCTTTTTTTCTTTTCAACATTCTAATATCAATAACAATGAGCATCATTACTACCAATGTGACATCTCAAAAAATGGAAATATTATTTCATGATGGTGAAGAGAACAAGCATGCGAATTGAGTTCACAATAACCTTTGGCAGATGTATAATGTTGTTCCTGGTAAAATATGCAGTAAGCCACCCCTTCCATGGTAACTTTGCCACACTAAACCTCCTTTCTTTATTACACCGGGTCAGTCTCTGTAAGGGTATGTTCAAACAGAAATAATAGTGTACCCTTGAAACACCAAGGGGTCAGAACAAACTAGAAACTTTTGCATGGATCTAATTGTATATGTTGTGGTTCAATTTTATCCTTGGTTTGAATTTTATTTCCCTTTGTTTTAAACTTATTATCATACATTACTATACCCCAAAAACAAAGGGAATAAAATTCAAACCAAGGATAAAATTAAACCACACCATATCCACCTGATTATAACTTACCTATTATACTTGAATTGTGTGACTGTACTTAGTAGTAAACAAAGGGCTGCAGTTGTTATATAAATAGAAGATGTCGTGGGATGATATATGGCTTCATCCGTTTTGTTAGCATCCTTACCTATTAGAAACGACTGCAAATTAGAAAATTAATGGTTAAGGCCCAGACCTTATACACACGTTTTCCTCCCAGTGTTGATAGGAGTCATTGAGTGTGTACCAACTGCAGAACGCTTTAATTCTTGAAGATTTGTTAGGGGTAGGGTATATTAAAGGTTTGCCTCTGACGTCAGTAGAGGGAGTGGAAAAATAGATAATTTACATGGGGTTAGAAATTAACAACCTAGCCTGCAAAGCAGGTGTAGTTTGCAGTGGGAGCAAGCATACTATTCTTGGCAATAGTGCTCTCCAAATTGACAAAGAGTTGGGGCAAGGCAATAAATGATTCCAGGGAGAGGAGTACAACAGGTTTAAAATAGAGGAAAGGGAAAGGGAGGAGAGGAAAATATAAATTTACTCTCTCCTCTCTTCCCCTCCCCCTTGCCCATTCCTTCTCATTTAGTTTCTCATTTGCTTTCAAGATGGTAGCCTGGCAGCCATAAACAACGTAATAAGCTTTAGTTTACAAAAACTCTTCCTCAGCAAGCCAATCTCAAATGATCTCAAGTTACACAGAGTCCTGGTTGATCCCAACCTAGTGCTGAAAGGGCTGCATCCATAAATGAAGGTGACTTTTCTTGACATGAATTTTTTTTTCCTGAATGTATAGAAGTGTATGTCAACAAGGGAGGGGATGGTGATAAACATTATATACAGTCATGAAGGTCACTTTGAAAAATACCATAATATTCTCCAATAGAGCATATTACAGTTACAGGTGGAAACGAGACTGGAGTTGGCCTTGTTTTAAGTTGAGTTTATTATTTCCCATAACATTATACAGTACATACGGTGTGTTACAATGTAATAAATTTGGGAGGAAGACTAAAGAAACCCTTACGGGCTTTTACAAGTAGTCTCTCTGTTTAGTTTTGATGCAACCTTTCCTACTTTATTATGTAAATCAAGTTGATTTTTTTCACAAACTGGCATTCTTTAAGCATAATTTCCAAAAGTAAAGGAAAGAGGTTTGTATCAAAACAAGGTCAACCTCAACCTCACATTCACAGTGCTGTCAACTCTCCTGGATAATCAGGGAGACTCCAGATTTTGCACCGTATCTCCTGGTCTCCAGATTAGAGTCTGATATCTCCTGGATAATCGCCAAAATTCCTATTTCTCGTACACTCAACTTTCCAACCATAAAATTTCAAATATTTTGTGTAGTTTGAGCTACTGCCGGAACATTTCCCCATAAATTCTGGTATGCCACTGTAATTTAAGCAATAATGTGGCTAAATATGAACTGTTTTTGTGCTATATACGTTGCTCGGAATCAACGAGCACTTTGGCACAAATGATGTCATTTGTTGTGTGATATGATGTCATCTATCATTTCTTCCCCATCAATTCTCAATATTTGATGATGTGGGGGGTTGAGAGCCCTGCATTCACTCAAAGGCTGGGATACTAAGCTCACAACTGAAAAATGATCTATTATCATTTTAGTAGAGCTTCATGTAAACCTGAGGTTCACATTATCTTTTGCTGTTTGCACAAACTGTACATGCAACAGCCAATTTCCAAGAATGCCATGTAGTAATCTTTAAAGTATAATTATTCCGGCCTTTTTTGTTACAATAGAATTCAGAGTACATATAGGAGGCTTGCACTAGAGCCTGTAGCTTTATCTAAAGAGTCCTCCCAACTCACTTCTCTCATCGCCAATCTGCTGAAAGTGTCTTTAAAAGACAAAGGTACTTAACTATACTTTAGCTGGCCAACCATGAACTTAAGTACAATTGTGTTTGCAAGCAAATAAATTAAGCATGCAAATTTTTGAAAAACTGACACATAATGGTATTTTTAGAAGTGGCCTATTCAGTGGTTTTGCGCACTGTGCTCAAGGGAACAAAGTTGACAACTGCACAAAAATGTTCTACTAGCTCAAACCAAGAAAATGCAAGGGAAAATTCAGTGCAGTGCCGTATGCAGAAGAAATGGTAATAAAAAGAGTTTTGCAAATTCTAAAAACAAAGACTAGAATCTTCTTACAGTCTCCAGTGAGCAAATGCAGATCAGTCCAATTTGCTTTGGAGCACATCGCACCATCGCCAGCTTCCGTCTTGGTAGCCTGCCTACGTACATAACGTGAAAGTTATCACAAAAACACCCGCTGACCAAGTAAATGTTCGACACTAAACTTCCCCCACCATCCCCCACCGACTGTTTCTTTGTCGAGTAATTTCGCGAAAAAATTATTATGCTAAGAGGAATGGCAGCCACGATAAGAAGGATTGTGAGCACTGCGAAAGCTCCTAAGGCCATCGGGCCTTACAAGTAAGTTGGATACGCTGATACAATGGCAGTACATATTAAACATGAGCTCGTCGTTTTTTGATGAGCTCTTCACTGTACTTTAAATACTTTGCTGAGCGGAAAATATTGCCAAAACTTGCAATACACGCCACGTGACAGAAAGGCAAGATCTAGAGCTAAAAAGTTTATGTGTCTTAGATGTGCACATCCGAAGTGCTTCTGCTATCTGCGAGCCTGTGGGTATTATTATGAAAAAATTGCCCCTCTCTACTCGTGATGGGCTAGAAAACAGCGCGCGCCCTGACCCGGTGAATTCAGGTTGAGTTTCACTTCTTGCGTTGTTATTTTTGCAAAAGTTAATTTCTGAGGAGATGGCTACTGTACGAAAGACCGTTCACACAGCAAAAGGCGTCCAACCGATTCCTGGTGTATATAGGTAGATTTTGTAATTGAAAAGGAATCAAAATTAGCTTAATCAGTAACTGATTGCTATGAATTCATATTGTTTGGTAATTTCAGCCAAGCAGTGATTGCTGACAAAACAATGTATGTTTCTGGTCAACTTGGGCTAAACCCTGAGGTAATGTTATCATTCAGGCCCTGTCCACATGTATCTGGATATTTTTGAAAACATTTTTCTCTGTTTTAGCCTTCCGTCCACACATGTACAATGTTTTTGGGCACCAAAAATATAGGTTTTTGAAAGCGATGCTGAGGGTGGAGATTTGGGGAAACGTTGACTCATCTTTTTCCTTTGAACAGACAAAAACGGAGGCTTTCAGATATGATGATGTCATACATCATACAGCGCATGTCACACAAGGGATGCTATTATATTTAGGTAGTTTCGAAAACGAAGCACTCGAAAACGAAGACTGAAGCACGAAGCACCCAAAACTCGAAAACGAAGCACCCAAATCTCGAAAACGAAGCACCCAAATCTCGAAAACGAAGCACCCAAAACTCGAAAACGAAGCACCCAAATCTCGAAAACGAAGCACCCAAAACTCGAAAACGAAGCACCCTATCTCGAAAACTAAGCACCCTATCTCGAAAACGAAGACCCCAAAATCTCGAAAAAAGAAGCACCCAAAACTCGAAAACAAAGCACTCAAAACTCGAAAACGAAGACCCCTAAAACTCGAAAACGAAAACTCGAAACCACTGTAGGTTTAATAAGTGCAACTTTACGTCTTACATGACGCAATCCGAATCAGGTGGAGGCAGCGGATGCGTCCGCACCTCCAAAGTCCACAAAATCCATCCCAAGGTTTTATAACCAACTGTTTAACTGAACTTTTCTAGATAGGATATCCTGTATTAATTTTAATATTAGTCTCGCTATACTTGATACATCTTACCTTAATATGCATTTTTTCGGTATACATACATGTTTATGTAGACTTCAAAACTGTCCGTCAGCAGATTTTGGCGTATTCAAGTACGCGTGAGCAGTAACACAAAAGGTCTCAAACGAGGCTGAAAACCGAGTGTGAGGCTCGCGCGTATTACTCTTACGCCACGCTTTACCATCTTCTTTACTGATTTTAAGAAAAAAAACGATTGTTTTGCAGTCTAACATATTGGATGTCTATGACACTGCGTGATCAGATCAGATCAGATCAGATCCAGGCAGAATTTGTGTTAGGATAACAGCCTGGGACCAGGCTCTATGGAGGGGAACAGGAGAATTCGTTATCGTGCTTGATTCCTGCTGTATTAGCATTGGTCTCGTGTTTATAAAGGACAGACCGGTTTCGTGTTTTTGGGTGCTTCGTTTTCGATCTAGGGTGCTTTGTTTTCGAGATAGGGTGCTTTGTTTTCGAGTTTTGGGTGCTTCGTGCTTCGGTCTTCGTNGAGAATTGAAGCACAAATTTTCAAAAAACTGCAGATACCTTTTGTGGAGGCCTTAGTTTCTTTGCTTCCCCGAAATCCCCTCAAATAAGACCCCGCCCCCTAATAAGCCCCCCTTTTTCCGGGGAAGAAAGTTAATAAGTCCCCTCATGTCTATTAAGCCCCCCCTCCCCCCCCCCCACACCTTCTCTTATTCTTCACTAATAAATGATAGACTGTATTAATCAAGCATGATTGTAAAACTTCATGTAGACTGATCCAGGATGGTTTATTTACCAACTGGATTTGGATTCTGATCCTCGGGTGCATGACCTCCAACCTTCCTTTACTTGAGCTTTTCCACTTTGTATTCTAGTTATTTATGGTGTACTGATACCATTGTCTTTTCTCAATTAAATAGGACCCCCATCTCAAATAAGCACCCCCGCCCATTTCAATTCGGCCCCCTTCAAATGGGCTTGAAATAAATAAGCCTTCCAGGGGGCTGAATAGAGGATTTACAGTATATGTGTTTGGTAGAGCGTGGGGAAAAGGGGAAACAGTTTTTTAAAAAAACTTCATGAGGTTTGGTTTTGTTTCTAGGTAACCTGTCTGGGGAGCAGAGCCAGGGCTGCCGCACCTTCTCCCCCTAACCCCCCAATTTTAAGCACAAAAAAATTAAAAACATGTAAAACAACAACTATGAGAAACAATAAAGCAAAGTAAACCAGAGAAAGCATAACGGCAGTCTCAGTCAATACATCTAGCCTCCCATGCAGACGTTCATCACATAATCCTCCGTATAGAACAAATGACAAAGTCCTAAGAATGCCTGCAAGGGATGCTACAATCCATCTTCCCTTAAAGTTTATGAAGTTTGGAGATACTGCTCTTTAAAGCAGGCAATGGAGAAATTACTTCTTAAGAGGTAGACTGTTTGGCATCAAAATTTAGCAGTGATCCATGTATTATTAAAACTTTTTCCTTTCATGGTTTTTGAGTTTTATAGCAATAACTATATGGTTTCCTTTAAAACACCATAAAGTTCCGAAAATAAGCCCCGGGGCTTATATTTTTTAAAGGTCCTTTTTGAGGGGCTTATTTTTGGAGGGGCTTATATTCGGAGGGGCTTATATTCGGAGGGGCTTATCAACAGAGGGAAATTTGCGTTTCAAAATTGATTGTGCTATCCTTATAGTTGGAAGTAAATGTACCGTTTTGGCATTGTTTTACTTTGTATTTGAGGGCAATTTTCCAAGTACAAGCCCCTGGGGGGGGGGGGGCTTATATTTGGAGGGGCGATTTAACGGAGGGTTTTTTGCATTACCGGTTTGGGGGGCTTATATTTGGAGGGGCTTATACATGGAGGGGCTTATTTTCGGAATTTTACGGTAAGACATCTCAGTCAAGTTCTGTACATACAGTCAAACCCTATTAATNGTAAATGTACCGTTTTGGCATTGTTTTACTTTGTATTTGAGGGCAATTTTCCAAGTACAAGCCCCTGGGGGGGGGGGGGCTTATATTTGGAGGGGCGATTTAACGGAGGGTTTTTTGCATTACCGGTTTGGGGGGCTTATATTTGGAGGGGCTTATACATGGAGGGGCTTATTTTCGGAATTTTACGGTAAGACATCTCAGTCAAGTTCTGTACATACAGTCAAACCCTATTAATACAGACACTGTGGGAAGCCATAGAAAGTTTCTATATTAACGGGGTGTCCATATTGAGAAGCTTAAATTTAGAATGTGTCACAAGGGCTTTCCCCAGGGACAAAGCAAACTGTCCATTATAATGAGGTGTCTGTATTAAGCAAGGTTTGGCTGTACTTTAAGCAATAAGATTACAACAGCTGCACATTTAAAACACCAAAAACATAAAGAAAATCATGCAATTGATCACTCTACAGTTGTGTTTGGTGAATATGTGAGACTGGAGTTGACCTTACCGGTTCTTATATTTTCACCAATGCTGTATTTTTTCTTTCTTAGACAATGGATTTTGTGTCTGATGATGTAGTCGAACAAACCAAGCAGGTAAAGGAATAAATTTTTTACCCCATACATAATTCATATTTTCATATTACCTAATTCCATGTAATTTATTAAATTATTTATTTTTATTATGTACATGTACAGCATTATGACTTAACAAATATAGGAAATAATTTTTTTTTAATAATGTATTTTTTCAGTCCTCGTTTATACTAAAACAAAAAAATGTCTGTTCAAAGCAAGTGACAAAATTATATTTTTTACTTGCATTATTTTCTGTTAGGCTTTAGTGAATATGGGCTGCATCCTTGAAGCTGGAGGGTCATCATTTGACAAAGGTGCAGTTTATGAATTATATGTTAAATTTAATCATACCAACTTGTAAGGAAGGCAGGACCAAATGACAGAGTTAAAGGCAAACCTGTACTTGCCAGGGGATAAAAATGCAGCAGCAGGCCATTTACACGATGGCATTATTTTACTACCACTACTCTTAGACTCCTTCAGCATGTTGCTTTCTTCTGTACATCAGAGGTTTTGTTATTTAAACCTCACTGGCATTACCAGATATAAATAATATGGAGGAAAAAAAGAAATGAATTCTGAATGTTTTAGTAGTGAAAAGACTTAATCGTGCAAATGGCCTATTGCCATGATCTCTCTAGTATTTTTCAGTACCATTTATTAAGGTGCACATTTGCATTTGAAAAGTGCAGGAGAGTCTAGTAAAACTCTTAGGTGCTTCACACCATGAAAACCAGGATAGCTCCAGCTATATGAGCTACAACCTTGCAAAAATACTTGAGACACTGTACCTTATTATTGCTTGAATGGCCTGCCCATGATCTTGTGCTTGTGATCCCCCTCCTTCCCTTATAAGTTGTCAGCAATCCAAGATCATGCTCAAAGCTTAGTGGAACAACTTTAAATGGAGGGGAGGAGGGAGGTGAGTATTATATATCGCAGACATGTGACTAGCAGAGAGATGAAGTAGAAAAGGCTGGATTTTGTCAGAGTGTCTCAATATTTTTGCAACTGGTTGTAGATATGACTTTACTCCGTCCCATCTCTAACCCTTCCCGAAAAAAGCACATGCATTCATATGTATGTTTCATGTGATTTTTGTTGGAAAGTCAAAACCGTCTATTCGCAGGTTATAATTTGCAACAACTCCTGTTATTTTGAGTGCTGGTGACGTTGTGCTTGGTTTGGTTTTATTGATTCAAAACTTGCAGCAAATTCTTTGTTGCAGTTGTGAAGACCACTGTTCTTTTGGCAGACATTAATGACTTTGCCAAAGTAAATGATGTGTACAAAACCTGTGAGTGTATTAAATTTTTTATGATCCATTCTCATTATTTTGTTTGTGTTACAATCATGTTGTGAAGTGATTTGATAATATAGCAAATTTTCTCAACCCATTTTGCACCATTAAAGGTAAAACCCAAGGCATTATATTACTTCTCAAGGGATTTTTGTCCCTTTTTCTCATAGTTTTCACCTCTCACCAACCAGCCAGGGCAGCATATCAAGTAGCAAACCTTCCCAAGGTGTGTCAAAGTTTTAAGTGGAATTATTATCTTTTTCACCAGTGCTAACTGTTAAGATACACTGTCTGTCTATATGTGTTAAAACAAAACCAGTAGCTTTTTTCGCCTGGCGCTGGGCACAGCCCTGCTCCAGGCCAGTGCAGTGTCAAAAATTTGTGGTGGCTTGCCGTCAAGGTTGACACAGGCAGATAGCCCAGGGACAGCCCTTACAGTGGGTGGGTGGCCTGGGGCTGTGGGGCAGGGAGGGGGTTTCTTGACACCACCATTTCCTTAAAAAGCATTGTCCACTGGAGGCTTTGAACAGGAAGTAACTTGCTTCCTTTTGCCCACCAAATTGAAGTTTGATCAGGCAGAGCTAGTGATAAATTATAATAATTTTTATTTTAATAATAATAATCGTTATTATCACTAGTCGTTTTTATTTTATCTAACCTGACGAAACAGTCGACATTTCGCGACGCCACCACTGGTTTCTTCATAAAATGACAGCTGAGAAACTAGTGCTTAAATTCCATAGTTATGACATGTCACTACCCAGAGCTAGCTAGCGCATCTGATTGGTCGTGCCACATGGGAAATTTGCTTCAACTAATCAGAAGCACTACCCAGAGCTGGGTTGGGATGCATCATCATTTTGCAGGGAAACAAGTGGCGGCGTCGGTAAATGTCGGCTGTCTCAAGCTAATTTTCATCTTGACAGCTTTTTTAATTGTTACTAGGTGTTCACGCTTAACAACATAATAATAATTACTAATGAAAATTAGTATGACAGTGATGAAACTTATTGAACCATTTACCGTGTTCTGGTTTGGGCACGAGAATTGTGCATAGGCAAGGCTAGACGAATTGCAGTAATATCCCAGTCTTTTCTGTTGTTTAGATGTAAAAGCCATGTTAAAGAACCAAGTCCTATTTGTTATTTTAATTTGTTATTTTTGTTATTTTTTTATTTGTTCTATGTATGACAAACAGACATTTACAACGCATAACATTTAAGTCTCGACTTCCTTTTTTTCACTTTTTAGCTTGGTAAAGTCGAGATTGAAGCCGTCGCTATTGTTGGAGAGGTAAAGGATGAGTAAACTCAAAGAAAGTCATCTTAGGAATTGTCAACATAAAATCAAAATTAATCTAGTTTTGTATGTTTTAAACCCTCATTTTGGTGGAAACTAAATAAAATGGAGATGTGGAATGCCTGTGAAAAATGATATTTGAGTATTTTTATTTGTAATAGTAACAAAAGAGCCTGATATCAACGAAATGCAACAAGAATTGGACCAAAGTTTTGTGTCGCTAATCTACCAACTTTGATACACCTTCATCATCCCCTACTGGGCATACCCCGGGTATTTAACTCTTAACTCTTACAGACTCATAGGGCCGGTTATTTAAACGGAGTTTAACCAGTGTCTAACAAATCCGCGTTCTAAGTCAATTTCAGTTTGACCAACGCCTTTATCAAAACACCACTTGTCGCGAACAGTTTCATTAAAGCATATAATGTAGACGTAGACTAGAGAAGCATTTATCTTCTTAAATTAACCCACTAATGAAGAGATCCGGAGACCCAAAGATTTCTTAAACCGCGGTCTATGTTAGACTTCGTATAATAAATAACCGACCCATAGACTTTTCCTCCAGGGCCCAGTTGTTCGAACGCCAGTTAGCACTAATCCGGGATTAAATTTTTATTCCGAGTTTCTTTTTCTTATGCTCGAAAACATTTCCTCGCCCCCGCGGATAGTTTCCTCTTTCCTTTTTAGAGCATCCAATCATCAACTTGAAGACAGAGTTGCTTTTAAGCTTTCATATTTGAATTCAAATTTCCCACTATCCCTGGTTATCTAAACCCAGCTTTAAACAATCCGGGCTCGATGTGTATTTCACAAAACTCCCGAAAAGTTTGGGGAAACCGTTTCTCGAAAGTCCCGGCAACTTTTCGGGCACGGAAAGCTGTTTTATGTTTGCCGTGATGTTATTGGCTATGAACCCCCCACTCAAATCAAGCCGCCCACAAAAATACTTTCCAAATTTTCGTACCCAAAACAATCCCTGAATCGAATGTTTTAAACCCAAAAAACTCGATTATCCCCGTCACTTGAAATCCGGTCCCCCCCCCCCCCCCCCCCGGCACTGGGCCTCTGCCCCAAAAAAATTTTCTTTCCTTCCCCCCAAATTCTCCGGCCTTTGGGGGAACATGCCGGATGGAGTTTTTTTTTTTCCTTTTCAACCAACATCGGGGTGTTTTTTTTTACATTCTCGTAACCCCCACACACTCCTCCCCGCCTCCCCCCCCTCCTGCTTTTTTTCTAAAATTTCGTTCCCACCAACACTCCCCACGAATATTTTTACACCACACACAACCCCTCCTCTCCCCCGCCCTCAACCCCCGCCCCCCCCCCCCCCCCCCCCACTGGATCTAGGAACTGTGCCACAAAAAAATTTTCCTTCATGCCCGACAAGTTACCGGGACTTTCGGGAAACTGGCCTGAAGTGATTTTTCTCATCCATTTCTAACGATTCTCGGAAGTTTTTTTGCAACGTAGGCGAACCGACTTTTGGATCTTGTAAAAGTTTCCAAATGTTTTCATTTTAAATGTATTGAAAATCACATTTCTGCGGCCGATGAACTTTGTGCACTAAAAATACTGAGTTTTTCGGAAGTTTTGAGAATCTCACACCTGGGCCTGTTTCTCGGAAGGGGTGGTAACTTTTCGGGTCCGAAGGCAAATTTTGTAATGTAAACCAGTTGAATTGTAGCACAGTTCCTAGCTCACAAACCGGTAGCCTCCCACGCAGTCCATTTTGCTTCGTTAACTGATACTTTCATTGTATCGTTTTCAAAATTATTGAAACTTTGATCATTAATGCAAACACGGCAAACATAAGAGGTTTTCGGGCCCGGAATGTTATCGGCACTTTCGAGAAACGGGCCCCAGGTCAGGAGGGGAAAGTTTAGTCAACGTGTAGAAGGAGTTATGGATTGAGCTCTGAGTGGCAGGCGCGTTTGGGGGGGAAGGGGGAGGGGCGGGCAGGAAGAGGGAAAATTATGATCCCGGTTCTCATTTCGAATTTGTTCTTTACTTTAGGTTACCACAAGTAAACTATGAAAGAAATGTTATCATAGTTTGTAAATAATCCAGTTATCTCTTGCTATAAGTAATGTATACAACAGTAGAACAAAAAGGACAAGTTGGTGAGTTTCTTTTCTTTTCGGCCCTACCAGGAGCCGATTACTTATCGGTTCCTGGCCCTACTTTGTCTTTCCCTTTGGAAAGCTCATTTACTTTTGGGATTGCTTCGTCGGGGAATAGACTGTTTCACTTCTAGAACATGTTTTTAAGTTGTTAATCGGGTTAGAGGACACGATGTTTTCGGAAGAGTTGTTTTAAATCTAAAACGCGCACAATACGGTTTCCCTGCGAAATGGCGTCTGAAGAACGAGCGGAGAAATTCCACACTGATGACGTGTAAATACCCAGATCTGAGTGATGGGGCTTCGGATTGGTTGAAAATTTGCTTCAGCCAATCAGAAGGTGTACCAAACTGTGGGTAATTACACGTCATTAGTATGGAATTTATGCGCTCGTTCCTCGACGTCATTTCGCGGGGAAACCGTGCGAAATTTCGGCTGTTTTCGCGATTTCACAGCTCCTCGCGGGAGTTGATTTCCACACACTCGCACAGCCGTTCTTTGTGTCGCGTTGCGTGACGACACAAAGAACGGCTTTGTATCAGACTAGTTTGTAGTCTATTGCCCGATCTCTGAGAAAAATAAGTATTATGCTCAACTACTTACTGTAGTTTAGCATCAATTATAATGAGCAGTAAAAAGAAAAACTCCAAGAATTTCATCAATACGGCTTTATTCACATTGTTGCCGAATCAATATACAGTGCATTTACTTCAATATTTAAGAGCTTTTTCTAACAAAAATATTAAATCACCCTTTTTCCCTTATCTTTACTAAAATTCTTTTTATAAACATTTAAGCTTGGAATTGATACTTTTTATAGTTCTTCCTGTACTCCTGATAGGGTCAAAGTGATAGTTGGTTTAAAACAGTAAATCCAGATAAGTTACCGTGTATGCATGTTTGCCCTGCTCTTAAACTGTACGTACGAATTTCGAAAGCCCAAAGGCCCTTAAAAAATACGTGGAACAGTTTAGCTAAAGAAAGTTAGTTAGGCCATCCTCTTTTTTTCTCCGTTTGGCGTCGTCCGACCGACCCAAATTTTTGGCATTTTCAAAAAAAAAAAAAAAAGTAGCGACGTCGTTAAACCATTTTTTACTTGAAATAATTCTTTTAATCTGAAAAATGAGCATATTAACAGCATAGAGAAAAACAGGAACAAAAACAGGAACATTTTTTACATTATATTGTGCATTTCGTTAATCCAAGTATGTTAATGTTAACTTTCAACGTCATCCTGGGATGCCAGCAGGGCCTCCTATTCCGATACTTCTTGTGATTTTTTTTTTTTTTTTTTTTTTTT